AGCCACTTTTTGATATCTTTCACAGTAAATGAGATATATAGGCTCAAAGTGGACGATCCGGGTGTCGTTCTATTAGAGGTTTTACGGTACCCAAAGCTAGCTGGAATCTCACAAATAACATATTGAGCCTCCATCTGATTCTGAAGACCTGACAACGTGGCGTCATACTTTTGGCAATGTTGCTCAGCAGTTGGTTGGGTGATGGAGTTCTCGTAGAAGATCTAAAATATTCTACTTTCAATTTCAAACTTCTCCAGAATCTAACAAACCTTCATGCACCACTCTCCCGATGGCCGTGTGAAGTTTTTCCATCCACGTTCACAGTTTCCATTGGACTCTCCTGGGCAAGATTGCGGTGGAGGTTGTTGAGGCATAATTATGCAGTATCCTGGGACCACCAGGATGGCGAGAAGAAGGAAAATTAAGTTTTGTGACATGTTCAGTGGAGAAAGTGAGTTTGAATCCAAATTTTATACATTTCACTCCAGTTTTATGACTTTCAAGGTAAGTGAGAAAGAAGTTTGTAAAAAACTTCCGATGCCGCAATAAAATATTCTTTATGGTGTTCAATCGAAAGTTGAAAGTTATTTTTTTCCGAATTTTCAAAGTTTTGTTTCCGCGAGTGTTTCTTTTTTTTCCTGCCATCACTTTCTTTTTTTTCCCAACGTTCATGTTTGCATTGGTGCATCTTGTAACAACGCGCCTCATTGGCTCAGTGGCAGAGCGTCTGTCTAGTAAACAGAAGGTCGCTGGTTCGATTCCAGCATGAGGCACCGAACTTTTTTTTGTTTTTCCAGCTGCTTTGCTTCAGATAAAATCATTGAAAATGCCGAATATTCGTTTAGGAGGATTTTGAAAATTCAAAAAAAGGTAAACGATCACAAATACAACTGTATCAACTTTGATTGTTTGATTACACAAATTATGAAACGAATTGTTTTTTTTCCAAATTATATGGTTTACTCGAAACTGAGAATCCGCTTCAATAGCTCTGCCAAAATATCATGATTCATCCGAAAAAGCTCCAACGGAATCACTGCTTCAATATCGGGAGCAATTTTTATCTGACCCATACAAATTTTCGGACTAAAATCAGTATTGCACATTTTTAAATACTTTCAATTAATTGTGTATATCAAATGAAAAGTCTATCCGAAATCTGTGAAATTATTCAACTGGATCCTTCTGTAATGAATCATAAAGTTTTGCTGTTAATTTTAAACAACTTCTCGAGCTTCATAAATATTTATCTTTTCGAATTTCTTGTCCTCCTTGTTTCTAGTGACATCACAATTACTCATCTCCCTCTTTTCTCTGCCGCTACCTGTCTTCTCCCCTCTTTCCTCTCTTTCAAATACGCCCTCCACTTCTCATGCAATCGCCGCCCGGTTAGCTCAGTCGGTAGAGCACCAGACTCTTAATCTGGTTGTCGCGGGTTCGAGCCCCGCATTGGGCTTATATTTATTTTGCTTTTTTTCGCGTTATGATTTCTCTGATTTCTCAAAGTTTATAAATGCATTGCAGAACAATCTAATTGTAAGAAAAATTTGTTCGTATTATTTCATTAAACAAAAACTTTTTAAAAAATTCAATTCATTCAAAATCATCATTATGGTTTCTTTCCACAGATGTATGCCTTGATGTCTCTTTCCTTCTTGTCATTTTTGATGAAGTCAAACTCGCAACTAAAATGTTAAGCAATTTCTTTAAATACTGAAAGATTATATCTTACCCAACGTCATCCAAAAGTCCAGTTTGGGTTCCATCAACAGATCCCTGAGATGAAACAGTTAGAACACCGCAATGTTGGGAGCGACTGAAATATTTTGGACCATTTCTTATTACGTTTTGGAGAGATGGCTCACCCTCTAGCGTTATCCGGTTGGTTACATGCCCATCCAAATCCATCGAATCCTATAGCTGAATTATCGGTCCACTGGAAACTGGTAGCCCAGCTACAATCTTCAGTCAATCCAACTGTTTGACAAAAACTTCTTCTTGCCATGCCAACCCAGACGCTTCCAGTTTCAGGATAGATGCGGCGGGTTACAGTAGCTGAAATTCGAGAAATATAAACTTTTGAATGTCCATGGAAAACATAAAAACTTACAGACAACATATTGAGCCTCCATCTGATTCTGAAGACCTGACAGTGTTGCTCCTTGCGCTTGGCAACGTTGCTCAGCAATTGGTTGGGTGGTTGAGTTCTCGTAGAAGATCTAAAATATTCTACTTCCAATTCCAAACTTCTCCAAAATCTAACAAACCTTCATGCACCACTCTCCCAGTGGCCGTGTGAAGTTCTTCCATCCAGCACCGAACTTTCCACAGTTTCCATTGGATTCTCCTGGGCAATTTTGAACTGGGCAGTCTTTCACCTTTGGGGGTTTTTGAGGCAAAATAATACAGAAACTTGGGACCACCAGAATGGTGAGAAGAAGGAAGATGGAGTTTTGTGGCATGTTTAGTGGAGAAAAGAACTTGAAGCTGCGCTTATATATTTTACTTTTGTTTTATGACTTTTAAGGTAAACTTCCGATTCTGCAATAAAATATTCTGGGTGATGGTCAAAAACCGCATCGAACTACGTAGGTTTGTTGCAGGTTTCATCAAATGTTCAAAGCTGTTTTATCGTTCACAATTTTTCCGCAGATGTTAATTTTCTCTTGTCAGCGTACCCCTCAACGTTTATGTTTGCATTGGTGCAGCTTGTAACAACGCGCCTCATTGGCTCAGTGGCAGAGCGTCTGTCTAGTAAACAGAAGGTCGCTGGTTCGATTCCAGCATGAGGCACAGAACTTTTTTATTGTTTTTTATACCGATTTGTTTAATTCTGTCAATCAAATTTTATCGAAAATTTATTTATTGATAAAAATGAGATCATCGTCGATTCATACAATCATCCTGCCGTCCTTCAGTGAACACAAAATAGTACATTAGGAGGAATAGAATAAAACTTAATGGATAGAAAACGCGACAAAAGTTATCCAAGTATCGTCCCGTTTTGTGGTATCTGGTTGCTTTCTGGAGGAGGACTTCCCGGATTTCCTCAGTGATATCCGCGGTTTTTCGCCCAGCCCACTTTTTGAGCTGATTCGCTCGCTTGTCAAAACCAATTACGAATAGGGTTTGGAGCAAAGTGAAGAACACAAAACCGGTGATAAATCCGAACCATAAGTCGATAGCCTGAACTTTTGAAAATGTTATCAAAATTACTACTGTATGCACCTTCAAATAGGAGACACTTGGAAGATGTTCCCTAGCTCCTGCAGATTCGGTAGAGAGAGTCAAAAGTACAGTAATCGCAACACCAATTCTTCCCTCCATGAATTCTTCTGGAAGCCATACGCCGACCCAAGAAAACATAAGAGCGAGACTAGTAGGGATATAGGTCTGAGCAATATGGAATCCAACATCTCGTTTAAGCCGGAAAACTGCTCTTAAACAAGAAAATGCTCCAGATTTTCGTTCATTTGCACATGTTGTGGTCTCGTAACGATCGATATAAAGTTCAGGCAGTTTCACATCTGGATTCTTGTCGATAGCGTCTTTACGGCGAGTGAACCACTCGAAACGGACAGTTTCAACTGGGTAGGCGACTGAAAATTTTGAGATTTAGGTTTTCATAAATTCACCGTAAACACTCTAATAAAGTTCCACCCAAACTGTCAACTTTGATCCCGTTATACCGTATATGGTATGAGGGTCTTATGAGTTTGAGTCAATTTATCTTGCCTCCTATCAAAGATATCAAAAAGTTGTCAACTGATAAATTGTTCATCACAATATCACCAATATGTTATCAGTTGACACATTTTTAGTATCTCTTACAGGAGTCGAGATAATTGACCTTTAAGTGCACGGTAGCTTTCTATGGAACTTCCATGGAACTGACGTATTTGTTCTAATAGACGCCAACACTTGCACTTTGAGCTTATATATCTCATTTTCTAAAAAAGATATCAAAAAGTTGTCAACTAATAAAATATTGGTGATATTATGATAAACAATTTATCAATTGACAACTTTTTGATATCTTTTTCATGAACCGAGATAAATTGACTCAAAGTTGACGATATCTTGAAACTTACATGATTTAATCAACAGATCACAAGTTTGTTTGTCGTGTGGATATTTGCACAGGATTAGGTTACAGGAAGGCTTGATTTTAACTCTGAAATTTTGCAAATATTTGAGTTAATATTCGAATTTTAAAAAGCGATACCTTGTTTCATAGAGCACCAGCCCATCCGGAAAGATTCTCATTAAGAAGTTCAAAAATGTGACTTCGTGGAATTCGGCTTCTTTTGCGTTTGCAAAAAATGGATCTGGCCTCCAGATTTTTTCTAGAATATCCTCCTCTTTTACCAAGATAGGTTTGTCATACGGGTTGACTAATCGAGCGTCCCGCCATGACATCATTAGGTAAATGTCCATGTCGTAATCCTGAAAATTGTTTTTTTTCTAATATTAGAATATTAGGATTTCTGAATTTCTGAATTTCTGAATTTCTGAATTTCTGAAAATGTCAATTTCTGAGTTTCTGAATTTCTGAATTTCTGAATTTCTGAATTTCTGATTTTCTGAATTTCTGAATTTCTGAATTTCTGAATTTCTGAATTTCTGAGTTTCTGAATTTCTGAATTTCTGAATTTCTGAATTTCTGAATTTCTGAATTTCTGAATTTCTGAGTTTCTGAATTTCTGAATTTCTGAATTTCTGAATTTCTGAATTTCTGATTTCTGAATTTCTGAATTTCTGAATTTCTGAATTTCTGAATTTCTAAATTTCTGACGTTCTGAATTTCTGAATTTCTGACGTTCTGAATTTCTCAATTTCTCAATTTCAAATTCTTGACTCACCATAGTACTCGTCTGAAAATTACTCATCGATTCTATATAAATTCCAAATCTGACAACGACAGCAGATCCTTGAAAAACGATAGGCGCCGAAAATGGATCATATTGATTTTTATTGAGTACAGGTAATATGAAACTTCCTCCGAGATTCCTAAAAAAAATGAGCTTTCAACACTGAGCCAATTTATCTCGGTTCCTGTCAAAGATATCAAAAAACTGTCAATTGCTAAATTGTTGATCAAAATATCACTAACATTTTATCTGTTGATACATTTTTGATATCTAGGACAGGAGTTGAGATAATTGGACTCAAACTTCTCTGCTATTTTCTAAAAGAAAAACTGACTTTGCAGATCCATTGGTCCTTGATAAAATTTCATCAACTTCCGTATCATTTCTTAGCTTATCAGCTAAACTTGTCAAATTCACTCCTGCCAATTCCAGCGCGGTTATATTGACACCAATAGGTCCCTCGATTTCGATTCCTGTATTTCTTTTTTTTCATATTTTTGTAATATTACTGTACCTTCAAAACTACTACTATTAAACTCATCAATAGCTTTTGGGACGTATTCTGAACAGATTCCTGGTAGATATAATCCAACGTTTTCGAATCTTTGAAACGCTGTGGAATCGACTTCTAGACCCAAAGCTGCGACGGCTTCTGGAGAGGAGATTAGGAGGGTTGGGCTGAAATTGATTTTTTAGAACTATGAGAATTATGTGACTTACTTGATCAGATCGGAAGCATCGATTTCAATCCAGGCACGAACATCTGTGGAATTCCCATCGAGAATATGACTACGTTCTTCGATGATTGCTACCGTAGTCTCGCCGTCAGTGGTTTTGATTACTTGTCGCTGGAAGATATGAATTTTTTGGGGTTCAAGCTTCATCCACCTTTCATACCGTGTTTGCTCTAAACATGCACTTTGAGCTCAATTATCTCAGTTCTTTTAAAAGGTAACAAAAATTGGTTAACTGATAAATTGTTTATTATAATATCACTAACATTTTATCAGTGGACACATTTTTGATACCTCGCACAGGAATCGAGATAATTGAGCTCAAAAATGACGGTTTGGGCGGGCTCGGGTTGGAGTGCACTGCCGCGTAGCTCAGCAGGTAGTGCGCACCACGCCACCTATTCGGCCCAGAAGTTCAACTTGACGAAAAGAACAAAATCATTTATTTTTCTATGTCCCCTCCTTCAAACTACAGTACCGGGCACAAACCTCGCTATCAATTTTCACTTAATTCTCAATTTTACCTATTTTCAGTTGGAAATAGTCAACCTTGAATGCCTACAAAATACAATAGATTTAGTTCGATAAGGCTAAAAATTTCAGAGTTTATTAAACAAAACTAGGGTTTCAATTTTGTAGTTGGCAACTTTTTTGTATCTTTTTTTTTGTTTTTGAGATGTGTGCTTTTAAAACTACCGTAGCCTTTTCTCCTCTTGCTATGTCACTTCATCTTTAAAGGCGTACATCTCAAAAATCAGAAATGATACAAAAAAGTTGTCAATTACAAAATTGAAGCTCTATTTTTGATTAGTATACTTTGAAATTTTCAGTCTTGTCGAACAAAATCTATCATTTTGTAGGCATCCCAAGTAGCCAACCGTAAAATCTGTAAGAGAAGGACCTTCCTTATCTCCAACTTCGAGCTAATTTATCTCGGTTCCGGTAATTGGTGATAATATGATAAATTTTATCAGTTGAGAAGTTATTGATATCTCTCATAGGAACCGAGATATTTGAGATCAAAGTTTCTTATAAGCTCAACTCACCACATTCAACCAATCATCCTCATTCTCATCACTCTCTTGTTGAATCTTCGTTTCCTTCTCCCCACCTTCCTCCTCCTCTTCCGATGTCTCCCTCTTCCGACGTCTTCTATCTATTCTAACCTTTGTTTTCAGAATCACATGACGTCTTCGCTTTCTAGCAGATGCCAAGTGGAAGGATTCATCATCATCGACGTTGTTCTCATCGAATACGGTACGGTGGCGAACTTTGAAGCGTTTTCTGGAAATTGTTAGGTTATCTGGATCTGATAAAGTTAGGGAAAACTCACTCCATGTCCCGGTAATCCCAGACATCATCATCATAGACTTCGATTTCTGAAGATTTTTCGGTAGTCGTGGTGGGGGATTCTGTGGTGGATTCTTCCGGAGGCAGTCCAGATGAGAATTCTTGGTTTTCAAATTCCTGATCCTGAATCTCATAGTCCTGAGTGTGTGGAGGGGTCGTGGTAGATTCAGAAGATTGGATTCGGTTGGAGTCTTCGGTATGATGGATGGTATGGACTTGTTGGACGTGAAGATTGGGATTCTGATGATTCTGATGATGCCCATGATGATGATGATGATGATGGTGGTGATGAGGTTGAGTAGTAGTAGTCTGTCGACTCGGATCTTCTACAGATTCAGTAGGCGTGGAGCTGGGAAGAAGCTCGACACCAACCGTATCTTCCACTGTCACCGCTTTCAATATCGTCTCCATCGTCGAATTCTGAATCTCCTCTTCTTCAGTACCATTCCCATTTCCTCCTCTCCTCAACGCTGGCAAATTGCCATCCGTCACATTTTGAATGAGTTCATTCAATTTCAAAGCCAACTGAGAAAGTGTCGATTCATCTGGATTTAGTTGTTCTTTGAATGGTTCGCAGATTGGGGAGAATGAGTCGACGCCGATGAGGTTTGCATCCTCACGAGTACGGTACCAAAGGGTGCGTCCGTGATTCCCGCATACTTCTCGATAGACTAGTCCAACGGCCTGGAAGAAAGTTCTGAAGTAAAACACCGTACCTTCTCTATTGTAAGTCAGGCATTTTTGAGCTCAACTGACTCGGGTCCTGTGAGAGTTATCAAAATCTGTCAACTGATAAAACATTGGTGATATCATGATAAACATCTTATCAATTGACAATATTTTGATATGATTTACAGAAACCGAGATAATTAGCTTAAAGTGTAAGTATAGTATGAAAATTCTCTATTAAGACGCCACCTTGCACCTTGCACTTTGAGCTCAATTATCTAGCTTCCTTTGAAAGATAGCAAAAATTTGTCAACTGATAGAATACTTTTCATATTATCAGCTACATTTTATCAGTTGACAAAATTTTGATATCTTTTGAAGGAACCGAGATATTTGAGCTCGAATACGATAACTCACTTTGTAAGCCACTAAGAGCTCCGGATTCAATCCTAAAGTTTTCAGTCTCGATTTCGAATTGACCAATTCGGTTTGTTTGAGTTGGCCCTCCAATTCTTTCAGCTCCTTCTCGGAATCATCTATTTCTTCAGTCTCATTTCCAGAGTTTGACATGTTGGAGGTCTGAAAATTGTTTCAATTTTTGGCCGATACTGTATATTGTAAACTTTGAGCTCAATTATCTTAGTTGATATGATAGATATCAGAAGTTTGTAAACCAATTAACTGTAGCTGATAATATGACAAATATTTTATCAGTTGACAAATTTTTAGTACCTCTCATAGGAACCAGGATAATAGAGCTCGAAGTGCACGTATGGATAGGCTACGGTATACGAAAACTGCTCACCTTTGTCTCCTTAATTGTCTCACTGAGATTCCAATACTTTTGCCACGTGGCACACTCAGTCATCTCATCAATCGACAAGTTATAATCCATGGCTTTGTAGCTTGTATCAATCCATAAAACTGTTCGATTTGTTGCCTCATCCAGTGCTTCGGCATGTTCCTCTTCAACGATTTTGGTGAGATTTTCGAGATCAAATACTCCTTCCAGAAGCTTCTTGACCACTGAAATTTGGGATATTGGGATCTGGGCTTACGATTGGGCAAATCGGGCCGGCCGCGGCCGCTAAGCCGCCGTATCTTATTCACCCCAGAAGTACGCTATACTTTGGCACCTGCGATGAAATCCTCTCCGCTAAACTAGACAAAAGTATAGTTTCGAAATCTTTGCACGTATTTCTGACTCATTTTGTACTCAAATCTATTTAAGATCAGCAACACAAAAACTGCCTATAGTTTCGTCAGAAATCAGAAACAAAAACATTTGTCCATTCATCAAATTCTTGTCTTCTTCACTCGTCACTTTTTCTAGTCTTTGACCTTATCTTATGATCTTATCTCTTCGCCAGGTGTATATAACCTGTCTAGAGAAATTTTGACCAAACAAAAAAATGCATCAGATTATTCAAACTATTATTTTATTGTGTTTATTTGGGACCGCGGTGTCCAAAAGTTGTCTAGCGAATCCACAGGCGAGGAAATGTTTGGAGGTAGGTTATAACACGTACAGTTTGAGCTCAATTATCTTGGTTCCTTTAAGAGATATCAAAATTTGGTCAACTGATAAAATATTGATAATTTTATGATAAACACTCTATTAGTTGATTACATTTTGGTATCTTCTGAAGGAACCGAGATAATTGAGCTCAAAGTACAAGTATAGGGAGGCGCCTTTTTAGAGAATTTCCATCCTATACCTTTAAACACTATTATCTCGATTTCTGTGGGAGATATTGAAAATGTGTCAACTAATAAATTGTTTCTGATAGTATGACATACAATCTATCAGTTGACAACATTTTGGTATTTTTTACAGGAGCCGAGATAAATTGGCTCACAGTTAACGGTTTGGGGGCACTCTATTATTGCTTGCGAGAATGCTTGTTCCGATTTGCAGGTTTTCAAAGAGCTCGGCGAGCAAGCTGGCCACTACGACCTCACCAACAAAAACTCTACAGTACCCACCAACGCTCTTTGTGGAAGATTCAAAAGATGCGCTCCCACATTCTCCTGTGATCCAGAACCCAAACTAGTCTACGCAGTTAACATCACAATTCTATTCTGCGATGCGATTGATTTCTTCACAAACACATTTTTGCCGTGCCAAATGAAATTGGACGCGGATACTACGGAATGCACACGAGCTTGGGATCCATTCCCAAAGGAGATTAAGGATAAGAAGGTGATGAAGGAGGTGCAGGAGTACGCGTGTAAGAATTATTTTGGGAAGGATAACTGTATGAAGGATCACATCATTCAAGTTTGTGATGTGGAGATGTGGAATGGGTTTAGAAAGGTGAACATGGTCCAAGGAGCAAGCTTTTATTTTTGATTTTCAGCACCATCTGGCACTCAACACAATTATTGGAGCCTGCGACTTTAAGGAAGGCGAACCTGCCTAAACATTTTAATCCAATTTATCTCGGTTTCTGTAAAAGCTATCAAAACGTTGTCGACTGATAAAATGTAGCGGATAATATGAGAAATATCTTACTAGTTGGTCATTTTTTGATATCTGTTATAGAAACCGAGATTCACGTGCTCAAAGTTAGAGGCCCTTCTATTACAGGCTTTAGTTCAATATTGATAATGTACAGCTCTTTTTTGCTCGTTTTTTTTCTAATAAAAGTTGATAAAAACCCACAATCCTCATTTGACTGTGTTGTTGTTGTCTCTTCCTCTGTCGTCGTTGGAACTTCTGTAGTCGTACTAGAAGGTTCTACCGTACTCCCTCCTCCGCTGCCCAGAACAATTTTCGGCTTCTCACTCTCTTCTGAATCTTCTGGAATCGCTTCTCCGGGTGCCGATTTGTAGTCGAAGTGCCTCTCATCTGCCTTCCGATCTTCAAATGCTCGGCCGGCACCAGCACGTCTTCGGGAGTCTAGACATGTTAGGAGGCAGATGAGAAGGAAGAGAAGTTGAAAGAGGGGTTTATATCCTAACATTCTTGGTAGGTATGGGCATCTGGAAATTAGGGAAAATAACAGAAAAATAGTTTTCGATTTTTTGAACAAGAATAATTCAAGCTTGTCGAAAATAGTTCTGCGGCCGGCCGCGGTCGTGGGGAGGTTGAACCACCCCACCAACTTTGAGCCCATGTATCTCATTTCCTGTAAGAGATATCAAAAAGTGATAAACTGATAAAATGTTTCTGATATCATGATAAACTTTTTGCCAGTTTAGAGTTTCTGATATCTTCAATAGGAAAAGATATATAACGACACAAAGTTAATTGTTTCAGAAGCATTCAGGCCAGATGTGGTAAACTTTTGAAGCTTGAAAAACAGCCTAGAAATGCCTGAAACTGTGTTGCCTGAAACTTTCAGGTAATATAAATAAAAATAGAAATTCATTTTTGTAATTAACAACTTTTTTATAGATTCTGACATGCAGGAGATCTATCCGCTTGAAATAGAGACTCGTCAGCTACCGTAAATGACGTAATAGAAGCCCATCCAAATTTAAATTTAATTATCTCGGTTCCTATGAGAGAAATCGAAAATGTGTCAACTGATAAAATGTTGCTGATATTATGATGAAAATTTTGTCAATAGATAATTTTTTGGTATCTTCTACAGGAATCGAGATATATGGGCTCAAATTTGCCTAGGATCCTAGGATTCTAAACAACATTAAATTTCAGAATTTGGATTTTCAGAATTCTGGAGACTCCTACATTCCTAGACTCTTAGGTTTTCAAATTTCTGGACATTAATTTTTCAGACTATGCAGAGAAACGACCAGAAAAAATAAGAAGAGATTCAGAATGCGTGAAATCTTCTCCTCCTTTTCTCCCCACTTTTTTTGTCTATTCTCCATGTCTTCTTTGTCTGTATTCTCCGAATATTTTGTGATTAATTTAATCGAATTAGTTCTTTTTTGATTCTATGTACAATGTGTAGCCATGCTAACACAGGGATAAAATGATAGGATGGAAAAAATAGGGAGAAAAAGGTTTATTTGGAAATTGAGAGATCAGGAAATATGAGAGAAGTTAGAGAAAAATGGGACGGAAGAGTTGATTTATATTTTGGTGTCACATACGGAAAACGAAACGATCTGATCAAAATGTTTGGAAAACAATTGGTGGATAAGGGTCTTATCATAAGGATTTTGTGTGTGTCGGTTTAGAGGAACGTGGCCTAAGATTTCGGAAAATCTGGAATAGCAAAAATATAACTTTGAGCGACTGGCAAAGCAGATTACCATTATTCAAAAGTTCTGAAAGTTTTGAAATATAAAAGTCTGCTCGAAAAATAGCTGAAAAATAGCTTATGATCTTTACCGTATTAGAAGCCCACCTTGTACGTCCACTTTGAGCTCAATCATCTCGGTTTCTTTAAAAGATACAAAAATTTGGAAACTTATGAAATAACGCTCTTAATATTAGCTACATTTTATCAGTTGACCACTTTTTGATATCTTTCAAAGAAACCAAGATAACTGAGCTCAAAGATGATAACCAAAGGGGTCATTCTATTAAAGTGCTTACAGTAAGCTTACTTTTAGAAAAATAGCAGAGTCATATAAAACAAATCTCCAAAAGTCTCAGAAACTAAGAAACATAGACAATGTATCCAGGAAATCCGCAGTAACTTTCTCCTTTTAACTTTCTAATTGCGGAAATCTCATCAACTTGGAGATTGGTTTTGGTCAACTTGCCATTCTTCTCCACCAATTCAAATTGGCGCTAAAAAACTGGTAAAGTACACATATTATGTCTTTCAATTAGCAAAAGAAATTTATAAATTAGTAAGCAACTAGTTGACTAAAATTCCACTGAAATTCGTTTCCAACAAAAAAATAAACAAAAAAGTGAGGTACAAGATGAAGAAGAAAAATTCATGTATTTAGTTGCAAAACGAGAGACTAATTTGTAGAAGAGAGTTGATAGACAGAAAAACAGGTATGACTTTTCTGGCGGAGACTGAAGAGGAAGATTCTGAAGGGAGAGAAAGAAGACGTTAAAATAGTGATAATGATGATGCAAAGGAGAAAAAGAGAAAGATATTTGGCAATGGGATTCTTAATTGATCGGAATGTTTGCTTTCGAACAAGTAAGAGACCGTTTCCGGTCATTTAAAGTTAGTTCGATGTCAAATTGGCTGGCTTTTACAGCTTTTTAGCCATTTATTATTGGTTTTAGCGAGATTTTGGTAATTAATTTTCCTTTGAATTCAGTTACTTTCCACATATTTAATCATCCGATTTGCTGATTTTGCTGTTTTTAAACTGAATTTTCCATTTTTCGAAATTTTGCTACCAGATTTTAAGCTTGGTTTCAGCATAAATTACTTAATTTTTTATAGGTTTAGTGGGATTGTTTACCGAAACTTGGCTATTTGCTTTTTGTGCTTTAGCCAATTTTAAGCATTTTTGGCGATTTCTCTCAATGTTATAGTCTGTTTTTTTTTGTTGATTTTTAGCTCGTTTACCTTAATTTTCCCGATTTTTAATCATTTTCAAACTATTTTTCAGTGATTCGTCGCTTTTTTCAGTGAAAAATCTGCTTCGTAGAAACTTTCGGTTAAAAAAATTTTCTCAATATTTTAATTCTTTTTTTTTCCTTGATTTCCAATAAATAACTCGTTGATTTCCAGCTTATTTTTCGACGATTTCTCTCAAATATTTTACCTGTTTTTTGCTTTTTTTTATGTCATTTCTCACTAATTTTGAATTTATTAGACGCAAAGTAATTTCTGCTGAATTTCGATCCTTTTGAAGCTTTTTTTTCAGTGATTATTCACTAACTTCGACGTTTTTCAGCGACAATTTCCACCTAGATTTTTTAGTTTTCAGTTAAATTTTCATTTTTTCACGATTTCAGTCATTTTACGCTATTTTTCAGTCAATTCTCGTCCTTTTTTCATTCAATTTCTTTCTAATTCCGTCCGAAAATACTTCAAAAAACGTCTAAAATTGACGAAATTCCCACTAATTTTACCAATTTTCCACTTGACTCTTCTCAATTTCGTGATGATTGACGCCGATGACGTCTGCCCTTTTTTAGGTTTCCGACGGAAATAATTGCAGTTAATCCTTCTCAAACGAAGTTCGTTGAACGAACTCTAAAAGTGCGGAAAAACTTGAAGAATCGAGAAAAAAAAACGATTTCATGCAAAAAAAAGCAATAAATAAGGAAAAATGTACATAGAAAAAAGGTTATGCATCAATATCTACAGAATTCGAAGCACTAGATTTCAAAATAATTTTCTTCTGAAGCTCGAGAACTTTCTCAGTTATCCGACGATTGATCATGGCTCTTTCGGCGATCAGTGTCTGGAAGTCGCCGTACGTGCTTGTCCACTCCTCCAACGCCTTCTCATACTTCTCAATTTGAGCGTCAAGCTCTGGCTGCAACTCGGCCACCTTTCCGAACAGTTCGCTGTCCAGGCAGGGCTGAAAATCCAGATGTTCAGCTCAACTTTTTTATGAAGACTCACCTCCAGAGCTTCCGAAAACGTCTTGATTCTCTCCGCTCTCTCGTTGATCAGGTTTTCGGCGAACTTGATAGAATCCACCTTGTCGGCAAGGGATCCATATGGGCCGGCTGTCTGGAAAAAATATTAATTTTTGGGACATTTAAAAATCGATAATTACCTCGGTGGCAATTTTATTCAGTTGCTCCAGCTTTTTAATTGGGATGGACATCAGCAGGTTAGCCTTACAGTCATCACGAAGCTTGGATTGGAGCGCGTCGATTTGGGATGGGATTGACTTGGTCTGAAAGATTTACAGTTAGCTTGAGAAGGTTTTTGCGTCGAAATTCAGCAAAAAAGCTTGAAAAAAGAACTTTTAGCTCTGGAACTCGAAAACTAGTTTTGAAACTCACCGTCGTGAGATCATCGATTCCCAAAATCTCCTCAATATCGGCGATTCGCTTCTCGATTTCGTTCAGGTCCATTTCTGCAGCAAAGAAATTGAAAAAATTGCGAAACACGTTAGAAAACTAGTTGCGCTAACAAAACCCTTAACACACACTTCACAAAGGTTTTTATCAATTTCAATGAAAATTCAGATTTTTTCCAGCTTTTAAAACGTAAATTACGGGGTTTTTCATCACAAAATTGCTGGAAAAAAACTCGAAAACGATTGAAAAATAAATAAATAAATTGAAAGTCCGCAATGTGTCGTCATGGTGTACACTGCACACTTTGCACTGTAATTGACGAGCAATGCGTCGGAATTCCTTGAAAAAACCTTTTCTGCTTTGAAAAGGTTTAATTTCGCGAAAATTGACAAGAATTTAACGATAAAAATCCGAAAAATTTATTCTAGACAATAAATTATAACTATAATTCATCTCTATTCCTCTCCACAGCCGTTAGTTCCTGCTCCAGCTCATCCACGTCCTCATAGCGCTCCAGAAGATTCAACCGAGCGATTGGGAACATAAAATCTTCGATGAAATCTAGAAACATGGAATTTCAACATAAACTTAAGAAAGAGAAAATTAGAGAAAATTACCATCACAATGCGATGGTTCCAGATGTTGAACCCACGCCTTGACACTCAAAAAATTATCATTTTCAATGGGTTTTTTGAAAAGGCACCATCCTTTTTCGTCTCTTCGAATGACGACGTAGCTAGGGGTGTCTATATTGAACACGCTCATGATGTATAGGCCGAATAGGTCCATTCTGGAAAAATTTGAAAATTCTAGCCTAAAAAGTCTGAAAATCGATAAATTACCCAGAAATCGCTGCATAGAACGCCGAGCGCTCGGAAGTTTGTTCTTGAGAAGCATGATATTGAAAACCTGTGACATTTTTAGTGCCGAGTGGGTCAAAAAAGACAAGAAGCGGTTTTTCAACAGAAGTGGCGAATAAAAATTCGCTGGGAGATATTAATGGGTGACATCCGGGATGGACACCATCTTCCAAGAATTCCACCATTCGATTCCAATGAATATCCTTGTAGAGGGTGAAGGCTTTAACGTATGGATCGTCGGGTTTCATGGTGATGAATGCCGGATGGAAGGACCTGAAATTTGTTATTTATTTTGAAAATTGAAATTTCTTCAGGTTTAAATTGAATTTAAGATTTTCAGGAATTTAATTTTTTTGCACTTTCAGAATCTCACTGAATTTCAGGTTTCTCTGAAGTTCGATGTTTCGAATTTCCACATTTTACAGAATATAGGCATTCCAAATATACATGCTATGTGAATTTCTGAGCATTGTCCGTCAGGAGCTTCAAAATAAGTATATTCATGCTTATGTTTCTTAAATTCAGAATTTCGGGCTAGAGACGCAGTGTGTCTCGTTACTCTGACACTCTAGCCTTACACAAAATGGGTGATAACTTAAGGATAACTTGGTTCATTTTCGTCCAATTTTTGAAATTTAGAAATGTTAGAGTTTGGCGAGTCAAGAGCTTCAAAATGAGTATAATCATGACTATGTTCCTTCAAACTTGATATTTTGGGTTTAAAGGCGCATGAACCCCATATAGGGGGTCCGAAAAATAAAATAGTTGTAAAGTAGGTCATGGTTATACTCATTTTGAAGCTGAAGCCAGCTGAGTAGAAAAAATGAAGTTTCTTTAGAATTGACCAACTTCCAGAGAAGTTACGCTCATTTGAAGTTTTGGGGAAAATCTGATTTCCGAAAAACAACTATAACATTGCTGAAACTCATCCCATTTTGATAAACATTTAATTTTTGTGCTCAGCAAGTCTTCAGCTTCAGAATAAATATAATCATGACCTACTTTCCTTGAATTTCCTTTTTCGGACCCCATGCGCCTTTAAAGTCAAAACCAAAGTGGGCGGAGCCTAGTCATGACTATACTTATTTTGAAGCTCGAAACATGCCAAATTCAAATATGTAAGTTTCAAAAAGATTTGAGCCGAATTTCAAGAGTTATGGGGGTTTCTAATGTTTTTGCATTTCATGATTTAACGAAATTCAGTATTTTCGTATTTTGGAAAATTGAAATTTTAGATTTAATGAAATTCTGGATATTTTGGGTTTTGAGTTTTTTAGAAATTTCAGATTTTTTCAGAATTTAGAAATTCGAACGAATTTATTGAGTTTTGTGAGCTTTTAAGCTTCAAAATGAGTCTAAACTTAACTAGGCTCCGCCCACTTTCAATTTTCACCAAGGCATGCGACGCACGACCGCGACGCACAGGGGAGTTCAAAGTGGGCGGAGCCTGGTTGTTTTAGGCTCATTTTAAAGCTCTTGACCTCGCAAACTCAAATTTGACTGTTTCGGAACATTTTCAGAACATTTTCAGCATGAAAATTGGAGAAATTTTTTTTTCGAAATTTTCCAAAAAAAATTTCAAATTTCAATTTTATTTGAATTTCTTCTCTATTTGTATGGGAATCTACATAAATTTTTGTATGAAATGAAACCACATTTCACCGCACACCATCTGAAAAACTTGAAGTTGAATAACGTACCATTTCTTAACTTCTGGAGACACCACTGCTGTCAAATGGAATTTTCCATGATTTTCTTTGGCAAACTTCACGTAGTTCCTCCAAACTTGACACTTTTTGGTGTGCACGAAAAGTATAGTCACAGTATGCCTAGGGCGATCAAAGCCGGGGACGTTTCCACTACGGTACTGAGGGACCAAGTTCTCGTTGAGGATTCTGATTTGGGGTTGTTTGATTCTGAAAAAAATCAGAAAATTTTTAAATTTTTTGACTCCAAAATCTATGAAAATTCCTACGTTAAAATCCAATCATGAACATGATTCTTTTGAAAACCTCCCTCGTAAATTGCTTGAATTTCTTCATCCCGGAATGCGTAGAGGATTGGAGTGTCGTCGTCAGAATTGTCTGGACAGATTTTGTTTTCTCTAAAAATAATTTTAGAAATTAAATGAGCAATCTACAGTAATCCTTTTTTACTTTCACAATCTATGATGTAGCCTGGTTGACCGCTTCGTTTGATAGCGGAGACGAAGTTGACAACTGCTTCCCATTGTTCGAATGTTCCTGAAATTTTGGATTTTGGGATTTTTGGATTCAAATTTAAGATTTTTAGAAATTTTAAATTTTTATGACTCTCAGGAAAATCGAACTCTCATTTATGATTTTTCTCATGTTTTTGGAAATTCTAGACAAATTTGGATTTTCAGGTCTTTACAGAATTTCAAAATTTCAATTTTTCGAATTTTTGGATTTTCAATTTTTCAGGAATTTTAGGATTTTATGAATTTCAGACGATTTTTGAAATTTCAATATTTTTGGTGTCTTAGATTTTTAGGAGCTTGAAGGTTGTTTGAATTTTTCAATTTTTCAGATTTTACAGAATTCGAGGATTCTCGTATTTTTAATTTTTTGAATTTTCGAAATTTCAGATTATTCAAGGCATTTTTTCTGATTTTAAAAATTTTCAGATGTCTGAAATTTAGAATTTTAAGATATTCATGAATTTCAGATTTTTGGATTTTTTCTATTTTTCAGATTTTTGCAGAAGTCCAGAATTTCGAATTTTTAGATTTTTGGTTTTTCAGATTCCTGGTAAACTAGCATTTCTTAAATTTTCAGATTGTTACGAATTCTAGAATTTTTATTATTATTAGAATTTTGAAATTTCAGATTATTACTGGATTTTTGGTTTTTCAGATTTTCACAGAATTCATAAATTTTCAGATTTTTGGAAATTTCTGGATTCCAGATTTTCACAGAAGTTGAAAATTTTCGAATTTTCGAATATCCAGGTTTTTATAGAATTTTACAGAATTTCTGAATTTGGAGTTTTTGGATTCTCAGATTTTTACAAGTTTTTCGATTTTGGAATTTTGGAATTTTCAAATTTCAAAACTTTTAAGTTTATTAATTTTCATACTTGCATTTTATGCCTTACTTTTCCGGATGAGCAACGAAAACACGTATTTCGAGGCGTGTGAAGTCCCAAAGTCATCTGAAATTTTCAGCCAATAGTCAAATCGAAAAGTTTCCAAACTTTTTGCATTTATCTCCAATCCTTCATAAGCGTGACGAGATCTCTCGAATACAGTATCATCTGAAATTTTCTAGAAATACAGTATCATCTGGAAACTTCTAGAATTTGGTTACCAAAAACTGGAAGACTGTCTAATGCCTTATTCGTGTACAGTTTGCCAGCAAACTTTTGGAAAATGGACACAAAAAACTCATCCAAATGATCCAAATCTGTTATTGTCTCCTCGATATTTGCAGATTTCCAACTTTCGCTGAAAGAGGAAGTCGTGAAAAGAAGAAAAACAGAGAAAGGCATGGAGGGGAATCGAACCAGAAACCCCTAGATTCAAAACGAGGCACGTTGCCGCAAAGGCTACGCACGCACATGGAACAATTGATCGCTCATTATGTACACAAAGGAGGGGGAAAGGGGAGCCACGTCGAAGAGTTGGGAGGGAAAAGGCTACCTCGAGATTTGAATTTTGTTGTTTTGTTCATTTTGTTGAAGATATACCAAATTACTAGTCCAGAATCTATTTGAATTCGCCACGTATCTAGTGAACCATTCCACTTTTTCAACGACTTCTGGGTCTGGAAATTTGAATATTTCACTTTTAGAAATCTAAAATTGTCCAACTTTTCTCCCAAAAATGATAAGTCACAGTGACATGTTCGGCTGAAATCGCAGATAATAATAGAGAGAATATTAGGGAAAAGTGCATATTGATTGAAGTAAAATGATCATTTGCCTGTGTGTGTTGGAGGAGAGAAATTGCTTATCAGGAGCAGGGAGAATAGAAGAGAATTTGAAATTTTAACTATTTGTTTTCTGGAAATTTCTAGAAATATTTCTTGGGAAAACAAGTGGGAAAATTGGCTTGAACCCTAGTATTCATGAATTTTTTTTTCGAGATTTCGGAATTTTTGGAAATTTGTCAAAATTGAAAATTTTTAATTTTTCCATTTTTGTTCCATTTTTGTAATTTTTTCTATTATTTCGGTGCAAAAAAGTTTGTCGGCGGCGTTGGCCGAAGGTCCCACAACGAAAACTACAGTATCCTAAAAAATGTGAAGTTTTTTCTCGAATTTAGCTGTTTTTTGTCGATTTTTCTGTAGTTTTTACCTGAAAAACTATCGGAAAATTGTTTTTCAGACTTATTTAGGGAAAGAATAACACAGAAATTGACGAAAGTCAGTGAAAACAAGAAAAAATCGGGAAAATGCAAATATTTTTAGGTTACGGTAGTTTTCGCCGTGGGACCTTCGGCCACCGCCATCGGCGTTAATTTTTCTGAACTTTTCTCCGAATTTTTCGGACTTTTTTTTATATTTTTCAGACTTTTTTTCGAATTTTTCTGTTTTTTTTTTCGAATTTCCTCGATAGATCCCTTATTTTTTTATTTTTCCCCCATCACTTCTGTGTGTCTGTTTGTCTGGATGTTTTTAGTTTTCTAGTCTGTGCTCACCGCCTGTCTGTACCCAGTAATTTGTAGTGATAAGATAATCAACACAATTTCTTATCATTCTTTTTATTTTTCCGATCGCTTTATAATTTCTAAAAATCAATGAATGCGTTCACATCTTGAAGAAATCAGCGGCTTTCGGAAATTAACCGAAAATTTTGGAAAACAAACGGGGAACGGGTTTCAGTCACTGGAGACGTCTTTTCAGTTGTAAGTTACTCTTTTTTAAGGAAAAAAAATTCAAACTTCCCGCCAAAATTTTATATTTTAAAAAAATCCAATATCCTTATGTCCACTCTCTGTGTCCTGAATAAGTAGTGTCCGTCCTTGCGACCCACACGTCAATATATATCCGCTGCATGCCGTCGCGCTGTCTGCGTCTCTTCTCGCCGACTACACAACTCCTCACTCTCTTCAACGCATGTCTTCGGCCCGTCCCTTGTCCGTTGCTTCTTCTTTTCCTTCTTTTGATTCTATCTTTGGGGGCCGTAGAAGAGATGCATCTTCTTTTCCCACTTCTAGAGCCTCTTCCGTCCCCTTATTCGGTCGATTTTGGGTTCGAAACGTCCCCCATTCGTCTCGTTTCACAATTTTAATCCTCTTCTCTCTTTTAAGCTGCTCCAAAAATTTTTTTTTTCAGGACAATTTGCTCTTTTTTCGGCTTCTGCCTCGAAGGAACATCTGCTTTTTTTGACGAATTGAATTGCAAATTTCGAAATTTTCTGTGATTTTTAACTCTAAAAATATTCTAGAAGACGTGCAGAATCGATTTTCAATTAGAAAAATGAGAAAATTTCTGTAAAAAAAACGAATTTTTTCCCAAAAAATATAGTAACTTTTAAAGGCGCACAACTAAAGTTCTTCAGTAATGTTTCGCCACGAAAAATTTACTGTACCTTTAAAGGCGCAAAACCACATTTTTTCAATGGAGCTTCACAACGATTTGAATTAAAAGCTTTTTTTTTTTTGAACTTTTGCGATTTTCCTGAGAAAAAAAACCGTGAGAAAACCCCGAAAAATGCTCAATTTATGTGCAAATTCAAGCAAAAATGATTTTTTTGGGGGTACGACGAATTCGGACGTTTTCAAATTCGAACAGACCTAAAATCGAACTGATTCAATTCAGAACAGTCTTTTTTTCGCACACGTACCAGAACAGAACGCGGACAGAATCGAATTGTTACAAGTTCGAACTGG